TATTTTAAAGCTTTCGATGAGATCCGCCCTGTCATGCCTGATTTGCAGTGTTGTTAGTCCTGTGGCCCTCAACCGTTCCTGATATGAGAGATGATTAAGCTCTGGGATGATTTTTGTTGCCCGGTGTTGCACCTTCTCTAGAGAAGCTGTGTCTTTCTGAAGATGAGGTCTCAATGCCTGGATGCAATAATCTAGGTGGCGGGACACTGGAGACTTACTCGATAGAATGACTACCTTCTTTTCCTTATGGGTAAAGGTACGCTTGATTATTCCCAGGGATTGGTTAGCTTCTTTTACTGCTGCTCCCACTTGTTGTGCAACTTTTAGTGAATGATGGATTCTGACTCCAAGGTCTTTTTCTTCATCCATCCATTGTAAGGTAGTGCTGAAATTTGGTATTTGTGACATAGATTGGTCTTGACATGAAAGACCACTCTTGCAAAGTCTTGCATTTATTGAAATTAAAAAGCATTTGCCAGTCATCTGACCATTTGTAGAGTTCATGCATATCTCTTTATAAGGTCTCAATATCACTTTCACTTCCCACTTTACAATAGATCTTAGTGTCATCTGCAAATTTGATGATGTGGTTTGTAATATTCTCATCTGTCATTGATGTATATGACAAAAAGGGTTGACCCCAAAATGGGCCCCTGTGACACCCCACTTAGCACATTTCCACAGTCAAATTCATTCCCATTTAGCACAAGCCTTGGTTTTCTATGTTTTAACCATTGTTTAATCCATTTCAATATCCTCATTTATTCCATCTGCCTGTAATTTCCTTGCCCGTCTCTCATGTGGTACCTTGTCAAAAGCTTTAGCAAAGTCCATGTTAGCTACATCTACCGGAAGTCCTTTGTCTGAATAGCCAGTTACAGTTTCCAGAAATGTGAGCAGGTTTGTAAGGCATGATCTGTTTTTAACAAACCCATGTTGCATTGATTTTATAAGATTGTTCTCTGTTAGATGTTTGATGATTCCCTCCCTTACTCTCCATGGGCTTGCAGATGTGTGATGTCAAGCTGATCGGACGACAGTTTTCTGCCGAGCTCTTTGTCTTTTTTTAAAATAGGGGTAACATTTGCATGTTTCCAATCCAGGTGAACTATCCCTTAGTCCAGGGATTTTCTGAAAAGGAGTTTCAGTGGTATGCATAGTGCATCTGCCAGTTCCTTTACAACTTTGGATTGAAATCCATCCACACCCGGGGCTTTTGAGTCCTTAGTTTGTCAATGCTCTTTCTGATGGTGTCGCATGTAATGGGTATATCCCTTAATTCATTCTCTTCACCTCCTTCAAACGTTTGTGTGGGTGATGGGATGTTGTTCGATCTTTCTAGTGTGAACCGTAGAAAGTACTCATTCAGTGTACTTGCTGCCCATTTATCATCCAATATAACGTGGTTAGTCTCATGTGGTCCTCAGGTGATAGTTTTCTATCGAGAACCACTCCTAGATCTCTTTCTTTATCAGAATTCTTTAAAGATTTCTCACATAATTTATAGGTTGTGTGGGGTCTATGTTCTCCTCTTCCACATTCCATAACATGGCATTTATTCACATTAAATTCCATTTGCCAAGTGGTGCTCCATATACTTATTTTGTCCAGGTCTTCTTGAAGGGCATAACAATCATCCAAGTTTCTTATTTTCTTAGCATCATCAGCAAACATGTTCATGTAATTCTGTGTTTCCATCTGATAAATCATGTATGTAGACAATCGACATTACCGGTGCAAGAACTGAACCCTGTGTTATTCCACTTGTGACATTTATTCAGTCCAATACATTGCCTTTGATTACTGCCCTCATTTTTCTACCAGAAAAATTTTCATCCATGTTAGCTTACCCGTCACCCCTCCAATATGTTCCACTTTCCAGAACATCTTATATAGAACTCTGTCAAAAGCCTTTTTTTGGTCCAGATAGATGCAGTCAACCCAACTACCTCTTTCCTGTAAAATCTCTGTGGCTCAATTATAGAAACTGAGTAAATTTAATACACAGGATCTTTCAGACCAAAAACCATACTGACTGTCTGATATTATAATTTTTCTCCAGGTGTTTTACCCCATGTGCATTTTGACTAGTACACTTGGCAACGATAAAGGTCTATAATTGAGGGGGTCACTCTGCTGCCACTTTTGTAGACTGGGACTATGTTAGCCTTTTTCCACACATCTGCTACGACTCCTGTACACAGAGATGCTTGAAAAATCAGCTAAAGTCAAATGCTGAGCTCAGGTGCACGCTCCCTCAGAACCCATGGTGAAACTCCATCTGCGCCAAGTGCTTTATTCTTACTTACCTTCTTGAACATTTTTTCACTTTGTCTCTAGACACCTCTATGTGCTCTATGCTGTTCTCTGGAATTCTTATTGTGTCTGGTTCCCTGAAGATTTCATTTTGTACAAACACACTTTGGAACTTTTCATTTAATGTTTCATACATTTCCTTTTCATTTTCCATAAATATGTTTCCCATTTTCAACCTCTAAATATTCTCCTTTACCTGTAATTTGTTGTTTATGAATTTATAGAATAGGCCCTAGTTCTGTTTTACATTTGTCTGTTATCCTTTTTGTTTAAATTTCTTTCTGCCTCTCTCCTCACTGCCGTGTAGTGGTTTCTCGCATCTTTGTATCGCTGGTATGTGTGGAGGTTTGGCCTCTTCCTATACTGATCACATTTTTGTGTCTTTTAGTCTGTGGCCCTGTCACAATTTGTTAAACCAATCCTGTTTCCTAGTTCTGCATCTCTGCTTTGGTGTAATTTTTGTATTCCTTTATCATATATTTCACAAAACTTGATATATCTCATTTACTTCACTTCCTAACAGCAAATCTTCCCAGTCAAATTCCTTAAAGAAATTTCTAAGTTCCCCATAATGTCTATTTCTGAAATCAGGTTTTTCAACTGCTTCAACCTCCTTATTTTCTTCCAGATTATAATGCATTACATACTTTATTCCCCAAAAGACATGGTTACATTTACCCAAGGGAGAAAGGTACAGTACTGAATGTCAAATATCTGTTCCTCTTCCCTGATAAATATCAAGTAGCATGGAGGGAACATCCCCTTCCCTCAACCTCTTAGCTTGTTTAACATGAATGATGTTTAACATGAATACATGAATGTTTCCAGGATGAGTTTTAGAAATCTCCAGGTCAATAAGTCCTCTGTTCTAGCTTCATGTGCCTCCGTCTATGGATTTAAAGTTGAAGTCTCCGACTACCAACAGTCGTGATCTATCTTTATCCTCCTTTGTCCATGTGTTTGCATGGTGAACTATATGCATTCATGATCATTAGTTTATCATCCTGATTGCAGATCTCTAGTGCTGTTGTCAACTTCTCGTGGATTGGCAATCATTATTTCATTTACCTTTAGGTGTTCTTTCACCACCACAGCAACGCTACCGCTTTTCTTAATTTTTCTGTCCCGTCTCCAAACTAAGTAGCCCCTTGGGAATATGACTTGTTATGAACATCTTTTAACTTTAGTAATTTTGGCTGAGAGTTCATTTAAGTTTGGATTAAATTCTAGGCATGTGGTAATTATAAATTTTAGTTTGTAAGGCTCTTCTAGTTTATGGTACTTTTTACAGGTAGTGTATAATACACTACTATCCTCAATTACTTCTATTCATCAGCTTGAAACATTTGTGGTTATGGGATGTCTGGTGTGAATAATGAAATTTTCATTCAAAATATTTGGTAGGACATATGAAAGTCCAGGAAATAATAAGGCAGACTGGTCATGTCTAATATTGTTTTTCTTATACTACAACTTTCAGAGTTGGATTTTTACTTTTGACAAAAGGTAGTTTCATACTTTCCTATCAAGTTTGAATATCTAGGCCATTATAATTAACTTCTGATTACTGGAACCACAGTGTTCCAGGTCTTGCATTTAGTAAGTATTGGTGAAAAAATATTGTATAGATGTTTTAGTTTGACATTTAAGTCAACGTATTTTTTTTTTTTACACTTCCACTAATCTTTCAATGTTTAGATGTTGCTTAACAATTGTATGGACTACATTTAAGGCTGAGTTTAATTTTAGTTAAGTGTAAAATTAAGATACTTTGCAAATTAGTAATGTTAGTTTAGATATATCAGCTTAATCCAGTTTGGCATATTACATCAGAAAACTCTGAAGTTAGTGATGTCAATTAATTTTTCACTTTAGTAACTTATTTATAAATTTCACAAGTTTTTTGCATCAGTAATTTCCAGCATAATAGAATCTTTGCTAATTTCAGGATAAAGTACAGTATAAAGTTTCATTGGAATATTTATTTAATAGTTTACACTAACATTAATATTGTCTTTCAGGTTGTGGGAAGCTGCTCCTCCTAGATTCAATCCACTGAAGACTCAAAGACCATCAAAATGCCAGAGAAAACCACAGAGTACCAAGGACAACATCCACCTGTAAAGCAAAAATAAACTATCAAACAGGGACACTCATTTTATTAACACTAACACCTATCTATAAGCACCAAAACCCCTAAGTGCCAATCTTTTAAGATTGGCCTCAGCCAGGCCTACCCCTTACTTCCATTTGAGGCAGGACTTGTTGGCCAAAAGAGTGCATCACATCTTTTGGTTTAGTGCCCAACATGATGTAAATAAGCTGTGTAAAGCTTATGTACATCATGTTTCAGGCACTAAACCTCTGGATGTATCCACTCTTTCAGTGAACAAGCCCTGTAGTGATTAACAATGTTTGCACATTGTTAAGGGTCCCTACACCTATGCAATTCTAGTCCATCTATTGGATGGGTAGTAGAGCAGGGCTCTGAAAAAGCCAGGGAAATCTGCAGGACTGCCTGGTCCCCTTCTATGAAATGGGGTAGGATCAGTACAAACTGCATCAATCCCTGCAGGTTGTAACAGTAGTACTTTGGTACACATCTATAAATGGACTAGATGAAAGAAAGTAAATTAATTAGTTGACATAGCTAAAACACTTAATTCCACATACCAACTTTCGTAGATTTGCACAGTAGAACAACCACACTGAAGCCAGTCAATGCTTTGATGACATTGTAATCTTCCATACCACCTGAAACATTTACCCAAATTAGCTTGTTAAACAAGATTTTACATATGCAGGTTCCTTTAATCTTACAATTAAGATTGTTAGAATTCTCCTTTAATGCTAATGAAGCAAAAACATTAAACTTAGTTTGACTAACCATAAGTTCATTAAAGTCACCAATATCTCTCGGCAATTTATTTTATCTACATGTAAGCATCATTTCAGATTATCTTCAGCCATAATGAGTGATTGTTTAAGTTCAGGCGATGAGTCACAATAACGTGGCTGAAGTATGTTGACCAGACCACACACTAGAAATTGAAGGGACGACGACGTTTCGGTCCGTCCTGGACCATTCTCAAGTCGATTGTGACCATTCACAATCGACTTGAGAATGGTCCAGGACGGACCGAAACGTCGTCGTCCCTTCAATTTCTAGTGTGTGGTCTGGTCAACATTGTTTAAGTTATAATGTTCACTATCACACTCACCCAATTCAGAATGTCAAGCAATTAACACCTTCAAACTCAGGGCTGAAGTTCGACTTTCCCATCAATATTCTGAAAGACAATATCTATTTAAGCTTCAAATAAATAAACTAAGTTGAAGTACAGTTACCATTCAATATTTAATTTGTGTACTATACCATCAGTAAATGATTCGTTAATTTATGAACATAGCCTTTTAAGCTACAAACGTAGATTAAATCCATGATGTCAGTAGACCTCCCAGTTGGGATTCTTTTACCATGTTGTGGCACAGTCTTAAAGCACATCTGGGATCCTCTGACATAAGTTTGAACCCCTCATCACAGCCCTTGTGCATTGCAAATATCACATTGTGATTTGTGTAATTTATAAATGAATGACTTCTAGCCAAATAATTAAGAACCATGCAACCAACTTAACACCAGAAGTTAAGCAAACAAATTAAGATTTATATAAAACATTTCATAAAATCTTTAACTTGCAAATTTATGCCGTTTAACAGTTAGTGCCCAACTTTACATTCACAAATTTAAAGTCCCATTTATTCTATTCAAAGCACAATTCTTGCAAGAATTAACTTTAGGATATAGTACCCACTAGTCAAGGCCTTAAAAAGTTTCAATTTACCCAATTTCAAGGCCCCTTCACAATTTCATTAAATATTTAGGTAAAAATTATGTAAACACATTTTACCTATTAAACTAAATAAACTTACTTTGGCCCTCTAATTCTGACAACTATGCTACTTTCTGTAGCATTTAACACTTCCAGCGATTGTTCTGCAACTGTTCCTGAAGTTATCTTGGAAGGACCTTCTACAACCTGTCAATGGAACATTAAATATGGTTAATAAGGTTTTGCATAGCAATTTCATTTTGTTTAACTTTAAAATATTTGTCATTTTAAAGTTACACTAACGAATTATCTACTTCCCCCCCCCCACCATATCTAATTTATAAATTAGAAGATAAAGCACTTTGAAGTCCACATTTAAGGTTTATATGCTACAAATTTTGTATTTCAATTTTATAGATTACAATTCCCCTCCCCCATATATCTCTCTGGTAACATGTATTTGAAACCATGCCAAGCAAACTCAAGATTTGGTGCTATTTATGTCAAAAAACGATACGACAGTTTTCTCATTCTTGTACAGCCACAAGCATGCGTACCATTTAGGCCAATAACATGTTACCCCAGAACACCAAAAATTTAACTAGGTACCAATTTTACACCGTTAAACAGATACAGTTACTCACCCAGGATTCATGCCAAATCACTCTTGCTTGCTTGCTTGCAGATCAAATGGGATTTAATTTTAAATAAGCAAACTGTACAGAGATCTAAATGTATTTGCCATTTGTTGCCACTTTTAAAGAACTTAAACCTCATTTAGTCAAAAGTTTTAAAACCCACCAAACCGGGAAGGCTATGTAGTACCACCGAGTGTGGAAGTTTAAGGCACGAGATTCAAGAACGTGTTTAAGGAAAATTGAAGATCAGAACCACAGCTAACAAGTGACAACCCAGTTCGGTTGTGACCTGCACTGGCTCCACCACCAGAGTACCACAGAGGTCAAGAACCTGCTAGTCATAGGGAATGAGCTTACCCACAATATTGCAAATCTTCCAAATCTGCGGCAGAGGAGTATCTGACGTAATGGTGGAAACACTTCCAACTCTCGCGCCTCGCTGTCCAGGTGGTCCAACAGCCCACTGCACTTTCTGAAACAAAATATAAGAATCAGCCATCTGCCAGCGTCAGTCTTTTCCAGACCTGCACACTTACCGCCGACAACCCTAGCAATCCGCAGTCCAGGGAACGCACTTCCGTGTGCCCTGGGAGGTAGAGCAAGGAATAGAGGGTAGCATCCAAGAGTAATGAAAACGAGGAGGGTGCAAGGAAGAGGTAGTAAGGAGAGGTCACAGTAGCACGGAGGGTGAATAGGTTCTAATCAGCTGTGGCAAACTGCCACCTAGGGAAGGAGAGGGGAGGGTGAAAAGACAAGGGAAAACAAGGATGGTGAAATGGTCACTTATGGAGGTTATGAACCCTCCACGAGATATCCAAGTACAGAGACGATCAGAGAAAGATCAAGACAGGAAAGTGAGAGTCACAGTCTACATGGGGTGGGCTCACCAGAATTCAGGGAAGAGAACGAATGGTTCGAGAAGGCCGCCTCGGGTGTGTCAACATCACCCCAAAGGGTATGTCGACAGTTTAAATAACCCAACAGGAACACCAGCTCTGTTAAGGCGTCCAGGAGGTTCCTGACATCAGGAAGGGAAAGAGGGACATTTGGGGGAAAATTTAACAGACTACATTTTACTCAAAAACATGGCCAGCAAAATAATGGATAGGACATGGAAACAGTAGGACAAAGGGATTATCAGTACGAATCAAGAGACCAATATAGTTACGGGCCCCAGCAAGATCAAGGGGGGGGGGGAAGAGAAGGGGGAAGGGGAAGAAAGGAATAACCACGACAGTTATCACGACGAGCACCAAGCATCGGCTCCCAGAGACAAAGTGGTGAAACCTAAACAGAAGTTGGAGTTCATGGGAGTTAGCATAAAACCCATGAACATTCCATTGAAGAATTGACATTATCAAAAAAATAAGAGGACAGCAACAGAACAAAGAAACAAAGGTAAATAACACAGCATATTAAAAAAGCTAAAGGTCAGAATAAGGTTTAGCGGGCCATGGGTTAACTTGGTAAGAATGGAAGGAAAAAAAGAGCAGGACACCAGAGGCAGATAGACAGGGTTCAGGGAGGGGGAGGGGGGGGGGGGTGCTGTCAAGGCCAGGAGAATAGGGGGTAGAAACTCTAGGTCAGCAACCAAGAGGGAATTGGGCCAAAAGAAACTTCCACATTAGGGACAGGGGGCCCCAACCAATAAAATGGGGAGTAAGCAATAGTTAGGGGGCGAGGAAGAAAGGAATGCCATCTCTTTTCTTACCCGCAGGGGGAGGAGGATGGAGAGGAGCCAGGCTTACGTTTCTGACGGACAGGTGTTCCAGTAACATCGTACTGGCCGACTGACTAGGGTCTTAAGTGAAGAATGGGAGTGAACAACATCAAGATTGCTGGGAGGATGATGGACAGCCTGGACAGACAGGCGACGTGGAGGGCCAAGAGGTAGTGGGGAGGTACAGGAAAGATTGGGGAAAACGAAATGACTTGGCAGACAGGGTAGGAAAAGGAAAGGGGTGGGGGAATCCAGAAGGAGATTCACGAGAGATACCTTCCGACCCAGGACGTAAAGGAACAGGGAAGGTGGTGGGCATGTTCGGGTCCAAGGCCTAGAAATGGTTGTGGGACAAAGGTGGGAAGGACGAGAGGTAGAACAACGTGCGAGCATAAGATACGCCAGTGAAGGGGTGGACACTGCAAACCGTGTCTTGCCTCGGGAAAAGTCAAATGATCCTGGTGTTTCAAGTTAAGGACTACTTCAAGCTTTGAGTCGATACACGTGCGAGAGAATGTAGGGTGGGCCTCGCCGCAATTCAGGTAGCGAGCCAGGGGTATATGAGCAATCTGTCTTAGAGTGGCTATCGTCCCCACACATGGGGCAGAGAGAAACGAAGACTTGTGCATTTGAGGGCACCGTGCTCGAACTTGCCTCACTTATTACAATGAGTGAGAGGAGGGGGGATGTACTCTTCAACAGGGCACCTGGCACCAGGAAGAATGATAGGTGGCTGAAGGGTCTTACTATCAGAAGGTGATACTATCAAAGTGAGGTTTGTTTTTAAAAACCAAAGTGTCGATATTACAAGATCATTGAATGTGAAATTATGAAACATTGTCACCTTGCAGATGTGAAGTGAAACTAATCTGACAGTTGTGCGTTTACCCCCCCCCCCCCCTCTACGTCACGTCACGACAACGACAGCCAGAAAGGGAGATGGACCTCATTTAGTAGAAAACTTATCACTAATATCTACAGTATGGGCAATGATAATCTATACAATTGTGTTCTATAACGTTATTTTAACTTTTAGCTTATGTACACCTACATTAAGTATCCTAATATACATGAACTTTGGTAAAGACTTACTATAATGCCTTGTATACTTTAAGTTTGATGTTGGCGACTATATTACCAACAGGTAATATATAAATTAGATTTTAACTACCTTCAAATACAAACATTTGCTATAATAAAGTAATTATAAAATTGAAAACCAATATAATAATAACCACCCTTTCACCAAGTTATGATCATTATTCTAATTAACACAATGTTGTACAATATTATAACTACAATATTTTCCAAAACATTTATTCAACTTGCCGACTTCAATGCAACAGGAATCTATCTTATCAATGTGGAGCGGTGATTATTCCTTCCATCCCATGCACCACACTACAAACTTGCAACCAACGTTTCTAAGTTACGTTTGGCTTTAACAACTACAGCCAAGTTGGGAAAAAAAACTGCCTTGCATAACCTTGTTGCTCAAACAAGGTAAACTGCCCAGAACACCAATATATTTATAATCTAGTAACAAGTAAATTTGTAGTCAAGACAGATGGTGCCAAGAACCTTATTAAACATTCCAAAACACTGAAAAAGCTCGTTTAAATAAAATTAGAGAAACAACTCTAAAATACCACAATTCATCACTATTTACAATAAGCGACTTCAACTAACCCAGAGTTTTTAATAAAATTTAATTTCAATACATTGCAAAAGCCATTTTAGATAATGCGTCTCCACCTGTCAAGAGAAAATATTAATACATTTTAGTATACTTTGTCACTTAAGCTTACAAATTATGAACTTAGGTACTTTAATATTCATAAAGTGCTCTCAGTATAACAAGTCGCATTAGAAAGTATGAAACTTACAATAACATTTGCACACCAAACCAACAGATACAAATTAAAATAATTACATAATAAATTTGACCATGCAAGGGAAAGTTTCAAGAATCTAGTAACATTGCACTGATCAATGTCACATTTACCACTAATCTCACCCCTTAGTCTGACATTTAACATCTGACGGCCATTATGGCGTGTGCAATGAACATTTTAACAACCATTTAATTTTTATTATGCAACATACTAGCTAAAAAATTACTGAACTACCAATAAGGACAAGTTATGAACTGCCTTAGCTACCTCATCCCTTGTTGGATTTTACCTCAATAAATTTATTTCAATGAACTTTGATTTTCCTCAGCCAATGGATCACCTAAGACTTGTGTACTTCATTGACAATAGAGTATATTTGCTACAGAGACTATTGAGCCTGTATATCGAGTAGAGATTAATCATTACAGTGGCCAGTTTTCCATAAGTAAAAGATTACCTCTTAAAATAACAGCAGCCTACAGCTTGGGGGTTACATCAAGAAGAGCAATTTGAACGTTTGTCTTTACTACTCCGACAGGTATGGCCACAATCAACTTTCTGGAAATATTCACTCAAATTAACAAAACTGTTTAGTTTAGTTCATTTATTATGCACCCCATACCCATCTTGTGGGCGGTAGTGGAAAGGGTTACAGAGGCACATAATGGGCTCAGGGACTGAACCCCACAATTCATTTAGCTAAGCAAGTTACAATCTTGATGAGCTAGTTACAAAATTCAATATAAGTCATCACATCAACAATGGGTTCGAGATCGACCTCAAGTACAGGTTCTAAATTAAGCAATTGACATATGTGGAGAGCTAGTGTCAAAATTTATATGTTTGTCCTGCACACCGCCCCCCATCCAGTGGGCAGCGGTGGATAGGTTACAATCACTTAGTTACTTCCTACAGTTAGCAAACTGGGGATATTTGGCTAAAATTTCTATTAGCAGATCATTTTGAATGAAATATTGACACATCGCTGGAACATTGGTTATAGAATTGTCTCTAAATTCACGTATCTTTTCGCACTCCATCACATAGTGACGGAGGGTGTGCGAATAATTTTGTTGACACAGTTTACATTTGGTCAGGTCTACATCAGCAGATAATGAGAATTCCCAGAGATACTTGTAACCGAGTCTAAGCCGAGCAGTAGTAACATCTAGAAGTCTGCTGATTTTATTGGATGATCCATAGATGTGTGGCTCCTCTTGCATGATAGTATGATGATAGATGGAATTACTGGTGTCAATTTCACTTTGCCTCAGATCTACAAGATCTTGTTGAAGTTCTCGGTGTACTGCTGCTCTCAGATTGCTCATTGACAATCCAAGGTTACACTCAACGGCTCCTTTAAAGGCAGATTCTTTGGCTAACTTGCTCTATGCTCTATCATGCATTCGGAGGCCAACATGAGATGGAGACCACATGAAATGGACTCTGTTACCATCCTTAATAATTTTGTTGTATTTGTGTCTGGCTTCGGACACGAGCATGTTACAGTTATGTCTTAAAGAGTTGAGAGCATTTAAGGATGATAAGGAGTCACTTACAATTAATGTATCAAGTTTTGAGACTTGTACACATTTCAGTGCAAGGATCAAGGCAAATAGTTCAGTCTGAAGGGTAGAGGCCCAGTTGTTTATACGGACTCCCCGCTCAAAGTATAGGCCATCGCCCATTGTCAGGACAACTGCACTTCCAGCTGCACCCGTGGTGCGGTGTAGGGAACTATCAGTGTATATAATGTGAGAGAGAGAATGCTCTGTGGACAGAGCATCAATATTGCTTAAGGCGTTGAGCTTTGCCTCAAGACGAAGCTTGGGCTGATCTCTAATTTGCTTCTTGGGTGGAAAGGGAGGGATTAAAACTGGAAAGAGTGTAACCTCCCACGGTGCAGGAAAGTGCCGTTGTTGTTTCTCTTGGTACAAATCATGAACCCCATACATTCTGAGTTGAGTTCCAGTTTTTGTTATCCATTTGGAACAATGCTGATCTTCAATAAAGAAATTCTGGAGGGCTTCTGTGCAAGGATTAGGATGAGTTAGCCTAAGCATTTTTATACCAATTTGACAGTTAATTTCAGTAACACGACCAACAACGCTCAGAATATTAAGTTCCTTTCTCATATTAAGTATCTTTGTGGTACGAGGGCACCCAAGGATTATCCTCAAGGCTTCGTTTTGCAATTTTTCAAGCCCTCCAAGCTTTCTTTCAGGCATCAAAGCAAGCAGAGGTGCAGCATAATCTACTAAAGATCTGATGTATGCAAGGTACATCATTTTGACAATTCTGACATTGGCACCATAGCCTGAGTGATAACCTGCAACAGCCTTGAGAGCTCGGAGCCTCTCTTTAAACTGACGACAGAGTCTGAATACAACAGGACCGTACAGTGGCACCTCAAGGCCAAGGTATTTGAATCTGTTTACATAGTCAAGCTGGGAGCCATTAGACAGTTGCATCTTGCGAACAGCTCCTCCCTGCCTGGGTGGGCGCCGATTGTGTATCTTTATTTTCTCTGCTGAGATAATTAAACCTAGGTCCTGACACGAGTCTAATACAGAGTTAAGAGTGTTCTGCGTGTTAGCATACCCAGCGGTGTGTATCATTATATCAGCATAGCTAATGATGTGGACGTTGGGTTTGCTCGGTACAGAGTTTAACAGCGTGTTTATTAAGATATTGAATAAGGTAGGACTGAGGACACCACCCTGCGGGGTGCCTAGTTCAAAGTCTCTTGTTACACTTCTATGCCCCTGGAAAAATACAGATGACTTCCTGTTGGATAAGTAACCCCTGATCCAACAAAGAAGCCGACCACCAATATTCATTCTTGCAAGCTCACTCTAGATAACATGTCTATTTGCAATATCAAAGGCAGACTTAAGATCTAGGAAGGTGGTATATGACTTTTCAGTGTGCAGGGTAAGAAAGGTGGTGATGCAATGATGCACACTCCTTCCATGCATGAAGCCATATATCTGGGGGGATAGCATGCTTTGTAAGTTCCATGCTTTGCTTCCATTCTGTCTAAATTTGGTGGCCAATATATAACTCATTATAATATTTGCTTTCTTTTAATTCTATCCAAATAGTTTGCGGGTGGCTCAGTTTTTATTCCCTCTTTGAGACTACATTTCAAATTGTCCCCAACATACATGGCTACTCCCCCTCGTCTAATATATCTGATATAGTTTAAATCCATTTATTTTATGTTCAGCTAATCGTCCTCTATTTTCTACATTCATCCATGTTTCGGCATGTGCAATAATATTTTTTCTGTGCAGACAAGAGCATTTAATTCGTTAATTTTATTTCTTAGACTTCTACTGTTAGTGCAATATACCCTAAGTGAATTGTTATTTTGAGGCCCTTTTCTTTCCCTGATCATTTTGCCAATTCTTTTCTCCCACGAACACATACTTTTATTACCTCCTTCCTCCAAATCAATTCCCATAACACTACTATATAGTTTAAACCCAAACAAACACCTCTAACCACTGGTTCCAACGAGTTCGCAACAGCAACAACCCCAGCCCTCGATAGATGCACCCCATCATGAGCATACATTTCATTTCTTCCATAGAAGTGTTTCCAGTTGTCTATGAAAGATATTGCATTTGATTTGCAATATCTTTCCAGCCGGGAAGTGACACCAAGTGCCCTCGACATCCATTCATTACCCACTCCCTTTCTTTGAAGAAAGTTTTCAGGATTCCTCCCTTGCTCTTAACCAATTCAATGGCTGTCCTGAATCTATTAGTTCCTCGCTCCTAACTCGTCCAACATCATTACCCCCTGCACTAATACAAATAATGGGTTTGTTCCCATTTCCCGTCATAATATCATTCATGTTTCCAACAATATCACCAATTCCAGCTCCCGGATAGCAAACCCTTAATCTGTTCCCCCTATCTCTGGCACAAAACGTTCTGTCTAAATACCTCACCTGGGAATCTCCCACAACCAAAATTCGCGTTGGTACCTCCTTAACTTTCCGAGCAGCCCGAGGGGTCTGCGCTTCGCCGCTCCTCGCCGATTTCCGTTTCGAGTGAACTGCAGGCTCACCACAGCACTTGTCGCCCAACACGGCAAATGAATTTGCTATCCTTAGGGCGTCTGTAGGCAGCCTTATCAAGGTCTTCAAGACCCCTGTCCTTAACGACTATCCACGACGAGGTCTTGTTAATATTGGTCTCCGTTTCTTCCCGATGTTTCAGCCGTTTCAGCTGTCGTTCTATAAGTAAGGAGTGCTGTAAACTAGATTACCAAGATTAAAGCTTTGGTATGGTGATGCAACACCTATTTAACTTCAGTCAACAGTATACATTGTTATCAACTTTGGCTTTCACTATTGAAATATTTTAATTAACTTTCTAGTCAATAGCCATATTAGCTTCCGATTAAAACTAGGCCTAAGCAGGTTAGAAGACAAGAATGAAGGTAACTTCAGAATGGCTGTTGGCCCATACAATGCAGCTCCTTATATCCACTCACTTACACTGAACAATTTACCTACGACTTGATTTACCTGAACAATTTACCTACGCTCTAGGGATCACAAATCACAACGTGATGCATTAGATGAACAAATCCACAAGGGCCGTGACGAGGATTCTAACCTGCGTCCGAGAGCATCCCAGACGCTGCCTTGATTGAGCTACGACATGGCAAAAGATTTTACCATGTGCTCAGTCTATTAAAGCAGAGTGATGCTCTTTGACGCAGGTTACAATCCTCATCACGGCCCTTGTGGATTTATCTAGGGATCCCACTGCCACATTGTTACGCGTTAATTTGTTCAACCAAAACCCTTTTGTCGAACTAGTATTTACCCAGGTCTTTCCTAAAGCAAAACTATCCAATTCATACCCTTTGTTTCGGGGTCGTCTTGTGCATACTCTTAATACCCCATTAATATTCCCTTATGTCCATTTGTCCACCTATCATGTCACTAATTTTGCCTTTTTAGAGGCATGTATTCAATCTTTTCATACAACACTTTTCCAATTTGTGGGGTTAACTCATCCTACGTTGAATGCATTATTTTATAGCCGTTCTATAGCATGCCAACCAGAACTGCATCACCTAAATGGGGCTTTAACAAGAGCAAGATACCTGGAGAATACCAGGTATTTTATTACTAGTGCTTTGACAAATCACCGTCCCATTTGCCCCAATTATGAACATTATGCATTTTTCATCAAACTCTGGTCCCTCTTGTAATCCACACCATCTAGCTCTTATCTGTACTATCATTTCCTAGCCTCAAAACCTTGTATTTGTCAGCATTAGACTGCATTTGGCAATACCATTTCAAAACCATCCTCTCAAGTGACAGCAAGTATTTCTTCCGATTTTTTTTATTTTGCAATTCTGCAATTATTCCTGCTCCAACATCTTCAACCGAGGTCCCAGAATAGCCTTGAGGCACCAACAATATTTCCTTTAACACCATTTATACTAACCACTTTGGTATAGCAATGCTCTAAAATTCATACAGCACCCAATATTTTGAGCCTAT